CTACTTTTGTTCTTTTCTTGTCTCATTCGTTTTTATTTTGCTGCTTGTCGTTTAATTTGGGTACAATCCAATTTATTCTGAACATCTGTGCACGATTAGAAGAGAAGTGCATGATATTTGTAGTTGACAGATGGAGTGGAAATCCTGCCACGCGTATAGGCAGGATTTGAATTCACAAGTAAATTTTTAAATGGGAGAGAGTTTGGTAAGAAGAAGCAAAGTTGAAGGTATGTAGGTTCGGTTACCGGTCCACCACTTTTGTTACGGTGTTACGGGTGAAAGTGGGAATTTTAATACCTAGACAAAAGTGAGGCGATATAAGTCAAATTGACTATGAATGAAAGCCATCACGTATAGGGGAAGTGTTGCGAACTTGCGTGTCGAATAATAGTTTCCGTAAACACTTTGGTAACTTGTTTTTAAGCTATTTATTTATTGCACATAAGTTCACCTTCGTTCACTTACTTCTATCTAAAAGCTACTTATTTCTAGGTTACACTAGGTTACATACTATAACGGGCCTAACTCGGTAATCTCTCTTTCTCGGTGTTGCTCTTTTTATCCGGGTAATTGCATAATTCCCCGTTCTATCTTCACATATCTGAACACGACACATCTCTGGTTTGTGCAGATCTCTTTGACCAAATTACGTCATGCCTATGCATAATCATAATTCGGGTCCGGCGACAGAAGCGTTTAAAATCTGAAAATTAAGCTCTAAGACAAATAACTCGAACTACGATTTGACCTGGTGGGACTTTTGACTATGGTACAGTGAATAGACCCAAGTTTCACATTTTTACCTGTATTAATTCCCCTGCAGTTACATACATTGGTTAATACATTGAATAATTAATCATACCTTGTTCCTTTTACTGGAAAATCCTTGCCTAAAATTAGTGGGCGTAATAACGACGGACCGACATTATCTATGCGGGGAACAATACGTTCCTTTAATTTAGTTAAAATAGTGACGTATGCCGAAAGCTGTTCCTCTAATTCCGGTAAAGCTGTGTACTTTAATAATTCGTAGCGAACTGAAAAGAGTACAGCCAGACTCTATCAACGTTTCCTGCTTGAAATTATTATCGTAATTTTGCCCTCCGAGTGACAACAAAAAAGCTAGCACAGGAGAGGTTAACCCCATATAACAAAATGCGAGGTCTGAGGGACTCCCTTCTGTTACCGCCCCGTTGGAAACAGAAGTCAGCGGTTAACCTATGTACTTCTCGCAAGCGTTATATAGCGTTATTATACCATAGGCGAAGAGATTTGAGCTATTAATATCCATTTCTAAAGATAAAATTAAAGCTAAGTTGTAAGGTCAACTTACCCAACTGAGAATAATCACCTGCACAGGCCAGTGTGACTGTGCGAAACAAATTTGAAAATGTGCAAGTTGCCGGTAATGCACCCCAGCGGCACTACCGATGAAGGTAACGGGCGACGTAAATAACAAACTACCGTACGGTATTCGGTAACGTATAAAAACTGCCTTGCAGCAGTTACACATTTTTTAACGCACGAAACCACAGTCCTCTCTATTAACCTAAAGCATTTGAATAACTTGACTTTGTAGAATGCAAGTTATTTCAGAAATTTGGTTATTACGATTTTACAAGGAATTGGTTCGATTGAAGCTACTTTTCCTCCTCCAATTTTGAACGACGTGAACCTAAAGATGGAAAACAATTTTTAATATTTGTGTTTACTTATGTACCAATCCAATTCATTTGTTCTTCGAGGCTTAAACAGCGAATGCGTACCCTGTACTAAATTTTCTAATAAGTCTAATGATATGGTCTGTTGTCGAAACATGTAACGGACAAAAGATAGGCCTTCCCCAACAATCGAGCGTTTATTGTTCGTTCAAGTACGCCTAGTATGTTTTCATTGTAAGGAAAATGTATTTATCTTGTCATGAGTTTGATAATTTCCAATTTTTCTTGAAGCGTGGAGTAAAAGAGTAAGACAGTAATATTTATGTTTAGGAGGATATGGTGGAAATCATGCCGAGTGTATCTGACCAATTTGTGGAGATAAAATAACCAGCCGAGTAACCAACGACGGTTAGTTACTCGCGGTCAAAGGAAGCAGTACCTAATGAAACGCCCCGAATAAAATTTTGGCGAAATGCCAATTACCATTTATGTGCCGAGTAATTTTTAACAGGTTGAAAATTAACGTGAAGGATATCATAAAAAGAAAAACAGCACTAAAGGTCGATTTGGTGCCTGTTTGAAATCATTCCAACGAAGTAGGTACTTGAAAAGATAACGCCTTGCCAGAAGGTCCTGAAAAGGATATAAGCTATTTTTGTGCATCGGATGAGTCAGAGTGTTGTAAGGTGACCTGGAAATTAGTGTGAAAAATTTTGGCGTGTTGAAGTGATGAAGTTGGGCGAAAAAAAATTCTCGAGGTAAAAATGGTGACTGAGAATTTATTTGATGATTTTGTAGCAAATTTAATTGAGGATTTTGTGAAACATGCCAACGAGGCAAACCCTGGGCAAAAGGTTAATAATTAGACACGGCAGGAAATTCATCCCGAATTGCCGAGTGCAAAGAAATCAGGAGGTGGGGGTGATAATGTCGCTACCACGGGGGGACTATCAGGCAGTTGAGGAGATATTGTGGCCTCCCTTGAGGCCAGGGTATCTAGGCCCGTGGGCATAGGAATAGACAATTCCAAGTCCTTCGGCCAAGGGCGCTGGAGGACTGGAAGATCCAGTAATTATGGGCTTTACTTTGTAAATGTAAATTTAACCTGAGCAATGTAATATTAAATTTATATTAATTTATTTATTAGTTTGTAAGAAAGTGTGAAGGATTGATACATACACGCACAGATTACTCATAAATACATACGTATGCACGTACATCACGTGCCCACATTTTCTCCGTTGTCCTGAAATACTGCAAGTAACTGGTACTGGCTTGCTTGCTTCATTTTTTAACTTGTCATAAATCCTACTTGGAATTAATTACTAATTATAATTAGAAGTATGTGTATAGATTATTATATTCAAGTGTTAAGTAAGCTGGATAGTTCATTATGGGAAATTGACTGGTATTTGGTATTTACCACATAATATGCATGTTTATTTATGATGTAGTGAGTTAATTGTTACATATCTATTTAGTTCATGATTATTTCGTAAATTATACACTGTTAAATAAGTAATTATGTATGTATATACAAATATTTTATGCTACGCATGTCAAAATGCCGCATGTATCTATTTCTACTTGCAGTAAGAAATAAATAACTTACGTTGGTTGATAATTCATGGGATGTAGTTGGTTAAATAATTTAAAGTTAAATATTTTCCGGTGTCTATCTAATATTAATTTGCATAAAACATTAAGCTTCTCCGGTGTGTTAAATTAATTCAAGTCGTTATCACTTAAATCGGCCAATCCGAGTTTTTGATTGGTTAGAATTATAGATTCCACAACAATCCAGCCTATGAAAATTCGGAGTAGAACATTGCTCATACCTACTTCTGAATAAAAAACCAATCATAACCTTATTTTTTGTATAATGATCATGTTTTTCACTAAACTCGTATTTTACATTTTCAGCTTTTTAATACGTATGCATGATTATTTATATATGACTATTTATCTTCAGCTTTTTAATAAGCATTTATCAGTCTGAATGAGCTGGATAGGGCGACCACATATGTATGCATGCACGCTGCATGCAAATAGGTGCATGATGCACCTATTTGCATATTTCCATTATTTGCATATTTACAATATGCACAAATATTATTAAGACTAAAGAACACGGGTTAAAATAAACTTTCCCCCTACGATTTTAGGTAACTTGGGCATCTCCAAGTCTTTTAGATGCTCTTTTACATCGCGTCTTAGACGCGATGTAAAATTGGATAAAAAGTGAAATATGGGAATGGGGGAGAGATAAAAATAGAACGGGACGTGAAGATGTGAACACGAACCTGCCAATATTGCACTGATTTTTGGAGTCATTGTCGCTTAGTTTGTTCGTGTACTAGAAAATATTTCAAAGTATTTAGTTAAATTATTTAGACAGTGTTAATCCCTCCCTCCCCCCCACGCTGCCATTTTTATTGTATTGGAAGGGGGGGGGATATTTTTCAAAAAATATATTTCCAACATATGTATCTACAAAAGTGTGCAACAAATAAGTTTGGTTGAACGAGAGAAAGTAAGTATTATTTTGCTTAAATTTAATAAAGGAATCAAGGTACCTGGAAGGTTTATAATTTTCGGGTTTATGTATTTCTGACAGTAGTTATTCATTTATGTATGTAATTGACGCCTCACGGTTACGGATAATGTATAAATTTCATAAATGTTCCACTAATAATTGTTTACAAAGAGAGACAAATTATAGTTATAAATACATTTGAATACTTATAGACAGTCTGGATGTGTAAACGTATATTTCATTTTTCAAATTTTCGCCTCGGTTTCTATTTTACACCTCAAACCTTTTTTTGGCGAAAAATTTTTGTCGGCGTCAAAAAAATCGTACACGGTCCAACCAAAGCTCATTATTCTTCAAAACGCATGCCGCATCAAGTAAAAAATATTGCAAAGTTTAAAAATATTATCCACCAAGTTTTTTTTTCGACGCCTCAAATTTTGTCAGAAAACTTATTCTGACCTTTGACCTATCTGCGACATTAAAATTCGACGACGAGGAAATTTTCAAATTTGACACATTTCGAGATAAAAATTTGGTCATCGTAGCTAGACTGCTGTTACATACTGTACATAATCAAAAAATTTTTGGCTTATTTTTGGCTTATAAATTAATCCAGCAATTTTTCTTGAATACGAATTCAACCTCTTGTGATACATACGTAATAGGGGTGCTCACGTTAAATAAATATATCAACATTTGGAACTCCGACTTATGTATCATTTCATGAATGTGTAAATAAATTTAACCCATGAGTAATGCACACCCAAATTAAGCCGATTTCTAATATCTATATCATTTTCTAGTGGTCAGGAGCAAAAACTGGGGAAGAAGACCGGATCAAGAATAATGCTAAATGTACGCAGCGTCCGAATAACGGTTTGTAAAATTTATACTCAAATCCTTGGATTATATGTTTGTATTTTTGATAAAAAGCAAAACCTGCCAGTTGAAGATGTTGGCACCAAGTTCCAAACATTAAAAAATTTAACACATGACGCAGATATAAATACGTACGTTGGTCATGAATATGTATCAATTGTTAGTATGTAGCTCGTATTTTTTTATTACCTGTGCAAATAGATACTAATTATTTCGGGTAATTAAAGCCGACATGTTAAAGGAGGTTAGTGCCAACAGAATGAAAATAGAGGGAACCACGAGGTTTTATAGATAAAAAATAAACGAAAGTGTTATCCCCGTTTTTATTTACATTGTTTTATTTTTCTTCCACAAAGGATCAGTTCATCACGTCCTCTCAACGGACAAATGAACGACGAGACTGTTGAATGTTATTCAGAATGACTCCGTTGGGTAATTCTTCGGTAAGAAAAATATGCAAAAGATATATTTTTTAGACTTAACCTTTTCGAAATTTTATTTATCATTTATTCACGGGAATGTTTATTTTTGTAGATTGGAAAGAAAGGAAACTAAGGATACGGCGAACTACTTCTTCGGTGCAGGACAAGAATTACGTCTGCGGACCACTGCAGTAATTACATCTTCAGTTAAGTGTATAAGCGGGTACATAAATATGTGCATAGTAATATTTATTTAGAGAATATGTAGGCGTATAGATGAAAAGAAGTAAATGCTTTTACTCCAAAGTTTCCCTGCAGGAAATGTTGAATTCAAAGCAAGTACTTATTTTCATGTGTACGTATCTAGACTTAAGTTTTGATTAATGTGTATAAGCACATAGGTAGCAATGCACGTCTGTATGGCTATACATATGTATTTCATCCATAAATAGATGTATTAATGCATATTTATGTAAGTCAGAAACCAGCATTAATCTCTACAAAGGTATGTACGTACATACGTATGTTCTTTCGCATGATATTTGTAAATATGCGCATATTAAGGAATTGCGAAGGAAAAGTACGTTTATGCACTTTTAAACTCTGAGCGTGGAGCAAAATAGTACGGATTGAAGTTATGTTGTACTTGGGAGGATGGGAATCTTGCCATGTGTATTGGCACGATTAAATTTCACAAATCCAGATATTATTTGTTCGTCTTCAGCATTATTTCTGTACTGGTTGAAATCTGTACAAAATCCAAAGAACTGAACTCTGTCTGTGCTCACAATCATTTTCATAACTTGGTGTGACAGGGATTTGGAGAAACGCGTCGGGAAACGCGTCATTTTATATATAATGGAGATCAAAACAAACAAAAAACATTTCAAAACCCTGGAAGTAAATTTTGACAAACTTTACTAAAATTTAAAACTGCATCTGACTATGAACACGTTAGCGTTTCTGGTAGCGCAGGTTATAAACTGCGTTTAGATGATGTGGTAAATATCTCACCTTGTCAGCTTAATTCTACTCGGACGAAAAATTCAATTGCTCAAAACATGCAATTGTTGCAGGGTGAGAGGGACCCTGCAGGGGACAGGCCCAAAACTTTGTTGCTTGTTTTAATACACCAGTTCTTAAAACGTTTTCCGAAAACCAGTCAACTTGATCGCAGTCTCTATTGCAGATATTATGTTCTGCGAACATTTCAATAGTGGACCCGAGCGCAAACTAATCAGTGGATCCTGAACGGTTAGGTTTACTCGCTTCGAGGAAACTTGCTCGAGATGTGCGCTAAAAATAAGTATTTAGGGGGCTAGAATTTGAGTGGGGGCGGTGGGGATGACGGTGGTTGACGATGGTGGAGTCGTCGTTGTAATGCGCACATTTGGTTTAATTATCGGTAGGATAATAACATGTCTCGTCGTTGGCGGGTCTGCCTTCATGGTCAATGCACGTTCTGTCGTTTCAGATCGTCTTGGCACAGTTTTCACAGTTGTTTACTGAACTGTGCAACAAAAATAAAGATGCCCGTGAGCAAAGTTAATTTTTTGCCGAATGCTAAGTATGAAAGAGTGCTAAACAAACAAACACGGTTTCTTGGTTTAAATTACATACAAATCGTCATATTCCTCTGGAAGTAATTAAAAAGCACAGAATGTAAACTACGATCACAAGAAGATGGGTAGTTACTGTTTTGTACCCGATAACTCATTAATTTCTATCAGTACCAATAAGTCCGCGAAAATTGTTCTGGGGCGTTTAATAACGTTTTCGCACAGTGTTGTCTCGTTAAAATGTACACGGTATGGTACACTGTATGCATTTGATTCTTCAAATAATGTATTAAATTGTTCATGTGAAATGAGTAGCTGCACTCACAAGGGAACATACCGAGGTGTCCAACGAGTTAAGGGTCGACACCCATACCAAAATGACCACAATACATGACTTATTAAACAAACTGAAGGAATTTCCGTGTAAAATTCACTTTTCGTCACGTTGTGACGATATTTGTGACGAGCGCATGACCATCAGGTTGCCAGAGAGGGAGAGGTCAGCCGCTGAACGATCAGGTCGACCACACAGAAGCGTCGTCGTCTTCACGTGGTCTTCAGAGATTTCAAATAACTTATACACCTCTAGTGTGACGAAAAGTGAATTTTACACGGAAATTCCTTGAGTTTGTTTAATAAGTCATGTGTTGTGGTCATTTTGGTATAGGTGTCGACCCTTAACTCGTTGGACACCTCGGTATGTTCCCTTGTCAGTGTTGCTGTTAAATCATCCCATTTACGGATGACCAGGTACTACGTAACCTTCTGGTCGTTGGTCTTTGCTTTCCTATACATTTCAACGAAGTTATTTGCCGCGTCTTTCAAATGATGAGGGATATACTTTATTTTATCGTCCTCTGTCCAACCATAAATAGGCCCTTTACGGGTTAATTTTGTTCAGATTAACGGATAATGTGACTTATTTTGTCATAAAACGGATTTGTTTGTTTCAATAGTTATTTATGAAATAGGTGTATCATAACATTATTAATTTTAAACGGGGAAAAAGGGACATTCTGTCTGTTTCTCAGGGTATTTGTAAGCTTAACCCACCGGATAGGGTATGACTTACCTGTTCGTACCCTGCGGATCGGGTAGTTATTTGCCTGGCTAGGTGGACTCAGGCATTTGGCCCAATAAGGGTTCGTATGATTTTCCCCTTGGGGTTTATATTATGGCTCATTAAGGGTTCGTAGTATTTGGCCCAATGCCTATACAAGGGTCAGGTATTATTTAGGGTTCGTTTAAGGTCCAGTAGGGGTCCAGTAGTTTCGTCAGATGGGTTCTGATTATTTCTTGTGGCGACCCAGACGGGTGCGTTAAATTTTAATGACCCTGAAGGGTGCCTTTTAAAGACGGAGTAATTTATTAACGGAGCAGAGACGAGTGTAACGGAGGAAATTTCAACAATTTGCATGTGTTAGTGACGGATTTGGAATTTACCAATTTATGGAAATAGACAGAACATCTAGAACTATGATGTACTGAACGTGTCTAGAAATAACATATTACCGGGATGGGTCACGTCCCCTCCACGGCGTCGGTCCAACCTTTAGACTCGCGTGAGAGCCTTTCCGAAGGGTTGTACGCTAGTTAGGGCAAGTCGAAGAAAACCCATGTTGGGGATTATAAATTGGAATGTGGTTAGTCCAAAAATGTAGATTTGGACTGATCTCCGGTAAATCTAAGTTTAGACTGAGTTCCGGTAAATGTCGGGTTGGACTGAATTCCGGTACATGCAGGCTCAATTTGGTGAATAGGTTAAGTACTGTCCACTCCAGCTTTATTTGATGCACCTCTCGATTATAGGTTATCATTGAGTGTTGACCGGTTCCATTTGTCGACAGAATTGTCCACTCTCTGTCAGGGATTATGACTCTTCTCATGTCGATTCATAAAACTATTCTCATGAGTAGAATAATTGCGGGAAGGTACCTCCGCCTCCCGCAACGTGATTAAATGAGCAAACGTATTAGTTTGTAAATACGAAAGTATGAAGTGTTGATATATATACATACGTATATTAAAATGCTCATGAAAGATCATGGGCAAAAAGTATCGCTTGTTACAACGTTGTGACTATCAGGTAACCTAAATATGTATGCAGGCCCTAAAACGTCAAAAATTCACGAATACTCCACGAATATGATGACCTCGAATTTTTTTGGTAACTAATGGTTACATGAAGTACCCACATGTTCTCAGTTGTCGTGAAATACTGCAAGTAACTGGTAATGGCTTGTTTTTTTCGCAACTTTGCATGAATCCCAGCTCCAATTAATTGATAATTATAGTTAAAAGTAGATTATTATTTTCAAGTTACAAAAGACTGGATAATTGCATTAAATTGATTGGTATTTGGTATTTACCACATACAATATCTAATATTTATGATTTAGTCATTTAATGGTTATCAAAACATGTACCTATGTATACATTGTCTACCTATGCAATTATTTTAGCCATATATGTAGATAGTTAATTAATAAGTATACGTATGTATAAAAATATGTAATACTCTCTAAATAAATATGTCACCCTGTCGCACATGTATGCTTTAATTGAATCAACATATACATAAATAAATCGCATAGATTACATGATATTAGTTAATAATTCATTGGACGTTAGTTGACATTAAAGTTGAAGGATTGCCGATGTACAAAAATAAATTGTATAAAAAATATGATATGAATTTTCAGGTGTGTACATTTGAATAATGAATAATTATTAAATGCCATTAATACATACTTAATTTTATTTGTTCGAGAACTGCATATCTACAACCGTATCATCTACTTATTAGTTTTTCCCGTTAATAAAATAATTATGTAGCGTAGCACAAGCTCTTGGATAGTCAAAATTGGAAAATAAATAAGACCATTATATTTTATTGATCAACATTTTGTACAAAATAAATGAAAGGGACGATTACATATTTAGACACACATGTACTTGGATATTTGCATATTGCACAACTTGCACAATGCGTACATACATATGCATATTGACTTGAGTCTAAAAAACGGGTTAAAACAAAATTTCCCCCCCCCCCCGCAGTGCGATTTTAGGTAAGTTGAGCATCTCAAAGACCAGATATGCAAATGTGGGTACATAAATATGTAAATCTCGAGTAAAAGTAAAATGTGCGGAGGGGGGAGAGATAAAAATAGATCGGTGAAAAGATGTGGAAACGAATCTGGCAGTGTTTTTGGGACCCGAAGTACTGATTTTTTGAGTCAGTGTGAGTCGGTTTGTTCTAGAACCAGTAAATATTTCAAAGTATTGAGGTACATTTAAGAATTTATTGCCCCCCCCCCTTGTGAAATTTTTACCGAATTAGAGGGAGGGGAGGGGGGGTATTTAGAAAAATGTATTTCCTACAAACGTGTATAAGTTTAATTGAACGAGAAAAAAGTAAGTTTTGCTGATTAAATTAATTAAATTAATATACTTTTACATAAAGCGATCAGCAATATTTATCCAGTTGGCTGAAACAGTTGGAAACATTTTCATTCTCAGGCTTTTAATCGGCAGGTGTAATTCTAACAATTGTTATGCATTCAATCGACTTCTTATACACTTCTTACAAAAAAATATGTATGTATAAAGTTCGTAAATGTTAATCGTAATGTTTACAAATTATCGTTAATTGTTTAGGTATTAAATTTTCATTTGATATTACTAATTTTGTGAGAGGGTTTCCTTAGATGACAAAAGTTTCAAAATATTTTTTTTACATATTTTACATATTTTCCTATGTATGAAAATTGCTAATATTTTAAATCGTTAAAAAATTAAACGCATTTATTTTTGAATATTTCGCAATGCGGGACGAATTTTTGGATCACAAAAAATCAGTAATATTGAAGTAAAAAGAGTGAATTTAAGGAAAACTCTTAGTTTGTTTCGTATTTAAATATTATGCAAACAATTTTTGATGTGTTTTTTGTAATATTGGACAAATATTTCTGCGATTTTTCGTAAATACGAATCCACCATTATGTGATACGATAGGTGATGCTCATTTTAACGTCTTGTTTAAAAAAAATTTTACAGCATTTTTGACACATTGGTTATGAATTGTATCACATTTCTTACATTTCCCATGGTCAATTTTGATAGCATATTTTGTCACGTTGTATAACGCAGTGATGAATTGCTTATAATTTTTTATGAATTGTATCTTATTTTTCAAGTTACATGTTCTCATAGTCTTTTTAAAATCTCGCTTTTTCTGCTGCTTCTGGTAATTTTGATAGCGTTTGTGTCCACATTGTTTATTAAATTCTTGCAATTTGTGTTCCCAGTCTCACGGCGTTTGGCAAATCCTTCTTCCTCGTCAACTTTAACATCGTTTTGCTGTGTATCCTCTTCATCCGGTCCAGAATTTGCAAGATTTGGAATCATTTTTGCGAGTTCACGGATGTGTAAATATATGTATAAATTTAAAGCGTAATAATTCACACCAAAATTAAGCCTATTTTTAATATTTGTATCATTTTCTAGTTGTCAGGAATGAAAAGTGGTGGAGGAGACCAGATCAAGGACAAAGTTAAATGTTGGATCCGAATTAAAAATAGAAAAGAAGACAAGGTTGCTAAATGTATTTTCAAATCCTTGGATAATACAGGGAGGTTTGAATGTAACGCTACAATGGAAAATTTTCAACAGGAAAAGCTCCTAAACCTCTATTAGTTACTAGATTTGGGATTTAAATTTTTATTAAATATTATCAAAACTAGTGAAGAACTGATTAAAAAATTCTAAAAATTTTGAAATTCACTGACAAAATTTTGGTAACTAATAGAAATTTACGAGTTTTTCCCATTGAAATATTTTCCATTGTAGAGTGACATTTAAACCACCCTTAATATGTTTCTTTACGTTTTCTAAACTCCATGGTTTTATTGACATCGTTTTATTTCGCATGCGTAGAGGAAGGTCAGCTAACCACCTTCTCTCCACGGGCAGACTGAAAATGCAAACCAAATTCCGAGACTTACAACGCAATTTTAAAGGAATTGATGTAACTCTTTTAAATAGGTATGAAGCTTTAAAAAGACCTTTGTAATTAATTAAATAAGTATTTCAGGAATTTTATTATCCAGGAAAATGTATATTTTTAGATTGGAAAGAGAGGAAACTAAGGTGACATCAACCAAAGGGGAATTCCTTCTTCGCTGTAGGAAAAGAATTTCTTCTTCGCTTTGCAACAAGAATGACATCTTCTCCGCAGGACAAGAATTACATCTTCAGTTAAGAATACAGTATATTTAGATGTGGCTAAATTTATTTAGAGATTATCCCTTATAAATATGTACCTAAAATAGGTAAATGTTTGTGCTCCAAAATTTCACTCCTGGAAATATTGACGTCAAAGCAAATACCTATTTTCGTGCGTATGTTTTGTTAGTATGTATCTACTTATTCATGCACATGCATAAGTATGTGACCAAATAGATAGGCCTGCGCATCATAATTTATAAAAGGATGTTTAAATTTTTAACTCAGAAAGCAGTACTGATCTTTTCGTACATACACATTTTCTCGTGCACGTACTTAGGCACATACAGTGTCGGACAGATGTCTACGTCCACATAGTCGCGTCAATTTCATTTTCAAATTGTCACTGAACTACTGAACCAATTTTCATCATTGATATATCAAATTCTCACAAATTTAACGTAATTTCATAAAACATATGAGTTATTTCTGAAAATTCTGGGAAAACTGAGAATCATAGTGCAGAGCGAGAGAGGATGAAATTTGAGCGGACAAAAGTCTACGTCCACTTCACTTTAATTGTCAACAACAAAAATCTCTCCAATTTATAAAATCAGGTAACTTAATAAATCTATCAATAACATATGCCGCATTAATTTTTAAATAATTTTCTTCCAGAAAAATATGATGGCGTCGACACGCAAGGAAATTCCTATCGCTATTCGAGATCTTGTCATTCAGGACTGGAAGGGTGGACAAAAAGGGGGCTGTCGCAGAGACAAATATGGACCAAGTATAAATTAGCAAGGACAACCATCCAGACAATCATTAAGAACTTTAAAGCTAATGGTTCAGTCCAAAACAAGGTCAGAAGTGGTCGAAAACCCATTTTGGCTCACCGAGAAGTACGCCACGTGCTCAACAAAGTCAACGTTACACCCTCACTTAGTGCTCCAAAGCTATCTACCGAGATCAAGGAGATGTTCGGCAAACAGGTTAGTCCTATGACCATCCAAAGAACACTGAACAAGGGAAATTTGAAATCCCACAGAGCAGTCCGGAAGCCTCTTATTGTACCGAGGAATGCAACCAAACGAGTGAAGTTTGCCAGAGACCACATTTCCAAGCCACAAACATTCTGGGACATATTTTATGGACTGACGAGTCAAAGTTCAATGTCTTTGGGTCAGATGGGCGTCGTAGAGTGTGGAGGTATCCAAAAGAAGCTTTGAATCCAAAAAATCTCAACCCCACAGTTAAGCACGGCGGCGGGTCGGTAATGGTGTGGGGATGCATGGCTTCAAGTGGGGCAGGAAAAATGGAATTTGTTGACGGAATTATGGACCAATACAGGTACCAGGGAATACTTGACCGTAATATCCAGGAATCTGTTCGAAAACTTGGACTTGGACGACGATTTGTCTTCCAACAAGACAACGATCCGAAACACTCTGCCACGTACACCATGGAATACTTCAAGAAAAAAAAATTTCGAAGCTAGAATGGCCTCCCCAATCTCCAGACTTGAATCCCATTGAGCATCTGTGGGACCACATTGAAAGAGAAATAAGAAAACAATCTTTTTCAGGAATTCCGGGCCTTAAATCCAGAATTCGTGAAGTTTGGGAAACCATTTCTGAAGATGTGACCAAGAATTTGGTAAACTCTATGACTCGACGCCTTGAAGCCGTCCTTAAAGCGAACGGAGGCCCAACCAAATATTAAAAATTAATTGTTATAACATTCCTTATAAATTACAGTTTTTTTTGTATGTTTTCTCTTACTGGACGTTGACTTTTGTCCATCCAATTGTTTTCATTTTGAATTAAAATACATCTCTGGCCTAAAATAAATTTTTTAGCGGAAAACTAATAATGTGCTATGAAATTACGTTAAATTTGTGAGAATTTGATATATCAATGATGAAAATTGGTTCAGTAGTTCAGTGACAATTTGAAAATGAAATTGACGCGACTATGTGGACGTAGACATCTGTCCGACACTGTATATTAACCCTTGAACCTATGTGATCGTTGTATGTATTTGCGTTGGAAAAGTATGTGTATGTACTTCTCAGACTGCAGCGTACTTACGTTTTAAGCGATTTTAAATTTTAAGACTTATATTGTCTTTCTGTCGGATCGTAGCTAATGTTCGGATTATGATTTTCCGTTGAGATAGGAAAACTAAACATATTTGCGGACGCGGTTGGGTTTTTCTTTCGTGAGGATAGGGTTGAAATCATGCCAAGTGTAATGGCAGGATTGAATTCCACAAATTGATTTTTTAATGCGGGAGGGTAAGAGGAGGAGGACGATTTTTGAGGTACCACTTTTGTTGCGGTTAAGGGGGTTGATCCTTGACAATTTTCACTTGCATCTTGTGACGACAGATTTTGACTCACGGATTGACAATAACAACACGTTCTTAGCTTCTGCATAATTACTCTTTATTCCGACTTTTACTAATCACTACGTACACAGCAGTTCAATCACGAGGGTTACTACCGACCAGGAATAGGTACATGTGTATGTTGAGTTTTGGAGTTTTGAAAGTAGTACATGGAATGGGGGTACAACAGTAGGGTACGCGTTGACCAGGTTAATATAGCAATTATTACTCCACACACGGAACCTATCAGTGTCGATTATGACGATAATATGAGCATAGTTGTTCCGTAGGGATAGCCATCATCATATGCTTTTTCTAACGTATGTAACTCTTGTTTTAAAGTAAATAACATAATCCACGCCCTGTGGCGAAAGGCGACCATTCATACATTGTAACGCCCTTTAATTTACAAGTCTAATTATGCATACACCAGCTCTGTTCTGCTTTCGAATTTGCAGCACATTTAAACTACCGTATGGTATTCGGTAGAGTAAATTGAATTCTTCTCAGTCCAACAATAAATATGTTACTACTTTGATTATTAAACTTATCAGTACCGTAAAGGGTATATACACAATACAAAGTTTTGTTTAAAGGTTCGACGTATAATTGAGCCTCCATGTTACACGTTCGATTGGTTGCGTAATGGTCCAGTGATCTTTTGATTCTCTTTTTGAGGAGTTTGCCTCTAATTTTTTTGATGGGGCACAATTTTGTCGATATAGGTCGAATTGTTCATGGATGAACGCTATTACTGAAAGTGGGGATGGGGTTAACATCCCCACTGGCGGATTTTGCGCCGATAAAATCTACGGGTTAGAAATAAGGCCACCTCGTCGAAAAGAAAATTCCCTCTCCGTTCATCATCTGTTTTCCACGAATTTATAATATATTTACACTACTGTACGGTATTCGGTAGAGTAAATTTTGTTCTTCTCTGTCGAACAATATGTAACAGGTTAAATAGTACTGGAATAATGACAAACTCCAAGGAGAAATTAGTAGAGTTATTGCCCAGCCGTAAATGTGACCCCAGAGAAAGGTATCACATAGAAGCCAAGCGATCATGGCTGCGATCTATGAAACCAATATACGCAGGGTGGGTATTAAAGGAAACGAGGGAAAAGATTTTATTAATAGGAGGACAAACTGAGAAATGATAACTTGGAGGGTTCGTCGGTTACGACAAAAATGACAGGAAAACTGGAAAAATGAATTTTATGTAGCTCTGTCCTGGTAAAGCTAAAATTTTGTAAAGGTAGGCTTTTTGAGCAAATTTAAAAACGACGTAAGATCGTTACATTGAAGTAATCCACCCAGTGAAGGTGTACGCCGAGATAAGGAAGCCCTTCAGATATGGGTCAAATCTTTTTGTGTGTGCGGTCGAAATTTCAGTATCAGATGAGATTTCAGATTTCAGTATCAAACTGTACATATACTATAAGTAGGATTCGTTCGTAGTGTGTATGGGTGGGAGAAGAGGTCACATGGAAGAACATTTAGCTATTTGTAATTTAGCTGGGTGGGAATAAATGAGAAGAAGAAGGACAAGAGCCAACTGTCCATATATGAATAGTGGCGAGGCAAAATTTATAACGTTCGGGGACGAAAAATAGCGAATAGGTACCTAAATTTGGCCTCATGCCCGGAAGCCATATATGTACAAGGGAACTTGGACAAATTTAAAATTAACCGTGTGTGAAAAGAGTTAGTTAACTAAACTTTAGTTGAAGCGCCAACAAGCCAAACGTGGATAAGACGAGTATTAATGTGCAAGGGTGTGGTTTTGTTCAATTGTTAATCATAAATGTCATAAAATTCACTACGTTTGCATAAGCATGATTAATGACTAGAATCAACCACTCGGCTGCATACGTTGGTGCTACATTCTGAAAGAAATAAAAAACAGAGTTAGAACTGCATAGATTTTTTAACGAATTTTTGGGCTGGAAATTTTAATACTTACTTTATCGGATAGGTGGGGCGTCCACCTGTACGTCTGACCATTTGAGTTAGCTAAGTTTTCCCTGAGAACGTTGTTTATAAAGGGTGTTAATAAAGTCCGATCCCATGAATTTTTTGGAGCGCGGTTGTTACAAATTCAGCTGGAACTTTTGAACCAGTGAAGCTATTTATTTCAAATTTTTACCATGGGAGGAACAACTAAACGTGTAAGTCATGAGCATCTTAGAGTTAAGATACAAACATTGCATCAGCAGGGGTTTAAACCTGCAGAAATTGTGCAAAAATTGGGCTGCAGCCGCAGAACTGTTTGGAAATGGAAGAACAAAAATTTTGTCCACGACAAAAAGCGACCCGGGCGACCCAGAAAGGTGTCACCTACCACAAAGAGAATGATTAAAAACAGACTTTACAAGAAAACCGGTAGTTCATTACGTAATTGTGCAAGGGAGTTAAATGACTCAAAACGCTATAAAGAGAAGTAGAAGCAAATTAACTATGTGACCGTGCAAAAATTTGTGAAATCTACGAGGTGGGGTCACACAGCTTACAAACTAACCAAAAAACCTCTCATGTCACAAAAAATATCGATGACCGTCTGAAATTTGGAGAACTCCTTCAGAAAAGTGGCCATTTGAGTGAAAAAAGACTTGGTGAAGAATTGCGCAGTCACATCCTTTGGACTGACGAATCTATTATTGAGCTATATCCAAAATTGAACCAACAAAATGTTCGTTACAGGACAGAAAACAAATCGGATGTACCATCAAGAGTAGTCCCAAAATTCGGGCTTAAAGTTATGGTAGCGGG